CCGAGGCAGACGGTTCCACTGCTCCACCGCTCTTACAGTTAGGAAGTTTCTCCTGATATTTAGCTGGTATCGACGCCCTTGGAACTTCCACCCATTAGATCTAGTCTTGCAATCCGCAGCAAGAGAGAATAGATCTGCTCCATCATTTACACGACAGCCCTTCAGATACTTGAAGACTGCAATCATGTCCCCTCTAAGCCTTCTCTTTCCCAGGCTAAACAGACCCGACTCTTTCAGCCTTTCCTCGTAAGACTTGGACTCAAACCGTCTCACCATCCTGGTTGCCCTCTTCTGGACACGCTCGAGCTTGTCAACATCCTTTCATTTGGCTCGGGAGGCTGAAGGGGAGGGGGAACGGAAGGGAGGTCCTTTCCTGAATTGTGTTCCTCTTCTCACCGGATCAGGTGTTGGGTACGGATCACCCCGATGTGGCCAAGCAGCTGAACAACCTGGCCCTCTTGTGCCAGAACCAGGGCAAATTCGAGGAAGTGGAGCAATACTACCAGAGGGCTCTCTGCATCTACCAAACCCGGCTGGGCCCCGAGGACCCCAACGTGGCCAAAACCAAGAACAACCTGGTAAGGCTGGGAGGGCCGGGGGAGACAGCGGGGCCTGCTACGGCTCTGGTCCTCTATGTTAATATTTATTTTTATGTCTATTTATGTTAAAATATCCCATGCACAGATTCTCGCATGGTTGTTCAGGTTGGGAAGAGAAGCAGGTGGCCATGGGGTATACATCCTCAGCTGACTTGTTTCTCCTTGTTGACTTTGATTTGTTTAGACGTAGTCACTCGTTACCTATTCATGAGTTAGTTAGTTCGTTAGTTGTAGATTTTCCGGGTTTTGTGGCCGTGGTCTTGGCACTGTAGTACTTGGCGTTTCGCCAGCAGTCGTGACTGGCATCCTCAGAGGTATAACACAGAAAGATGGAGACTCTCTGTGTCAAGGCAAGATGAAGAAAAATGGTAGGCAGGTGATTTATATCTACTCAGGAAGGTGGGGTAGGGCTGAGTCATTTATCTTGGAGGGGTTCCCCGGGCTGTGGCATGCTAATGGAGGAGCTTTCCCGAGGAGGTTCTTTTGCATCTGGACTGGCTGTTGAAATTCTGGTCTTATCTGTAGTGCTGTTGTGAGATGTAGAGCCTTTTGTGTTTTTCAGGACAGGAAACCATGCCCTATTTGTTTTTAGACTCTCTTCTTTCCTGTTGAAACGCTCTTCTTTCCTATTTATGAGTTACTTACTAGTAACCTATTTATGAGTTACTAAAGAGCAAGAGTCGGACTCGACTGTGCGACTGAACAACAACAAAGAGCAAGAGTCCAGGAGCACCTTAAAGACTAACAAAATTTGTGATAGGGTATGAATTTTTGTGAGTCACTTGCTCACTTCTTCAGATACAGCTAATTGCTAGTAACTAGTTACCAGTCTATGAGTTCAGGGTCCATTTGTTAAGACATATTTGTTATATTCACTTGTTATGTTGTTTAAAGGTATGTACCTCCGGCTGTGTTTTGGCCTGACACCTCCTCAAGGCCTCTTCCCAGCAGTCCAAAATCAGATGATCTAAAATACAACTGCAAAGGAAGCCTCAAAAGAATTAGACAAAACAGCCGGCCAAAAACAGGAGCATTGCAGAGGCTCGGTTTAGAACTCTTTAACCAATTCCTGGCTCTCTAAAACAGCTCCCTTCGCTTGCTTCCTGAGACGGCATCAGGGGTGAGGCCGAATGACCTCCCTGGCGAGGGCATTCCACAACTTTGGGGCAACCACAAGGAAGGCCCCGTCTCATGTTGCTGAGTGCAGCGGGGGGAAGCTATACATTTTTTGGTTCGTCTTTAGGGCAGGGGTGTCAAACATGCAGCCCAGGGGCCGGAACAGGCCCCCCCCCCCCGGAGGGCTTCTATCAGGCGCACAGTGGAACTGGCTGTCCTCTGCTGCTGCTTCCAGTTCCGCTGCTGCTGCATCATCGTAGGTTTGCAGCTTACAGATACACACCTGAACAGCATGCTCAGGATTGCAACAGCACAGACACTTCGAT